TGCAGAGCCTTCTGCTGTAACTTCTGGAGGGAAATTGTTAAATGAATAAATTAGCTGCAGAATGAAGATCATCATTTATGATCCGCAACTAACGCAGTATTTTAAATATGGGACGACACTGAAATGTCATTTAATTTACATCGCCGCTAAAGGGGTCAAGCACTAATTGAACAACAGGAGTGGAAAAGAATTTAATCATAAATAGATAAGAAAAGTTGACATGAATGTGTAATGAAGGTCACATTAAAATACTTCCCTTGTTTTGAAATGAATGGACAAAAACACTCTCCTGGAAATTATTCCTTTTACACAGGCCGCAGTGTGCAAATGAGACTATGGGCACACGTGAGCTTTACCAATGGAAGATGTGGAGGAAATATCTTAAACAACAGCAGACAGGCCTGTAAATAAGGAGGAGGTCCAGACGGGCACTGGCCTGGCAGAGCAGAGCATGTATGAGATCCTTATGTGCTGCTTTAAATCAGTCTGCAGTCCCACATTTCTCCTGTTTCTGTGGACTCACTCAACAATGTGGACGCCACGGTACAGGCCAAACTAGTCGTTTTGGTTAAGGATATGTTTACATAAGGATGCACTGTACAAAAGGCTTGTGTAGCTCAAAGCAAACTGCACTCTTTAAGCATCATTTTATGCAGATTTCGGTGATGAACGGCGCTCATGTTCTTGAACAGCATGTATTTGTATACAATATTTAATTTCAAAGGCTAAATCAGGGAGCACAATAAGAGGGGGATTATTTCAACTCTAAATGACAGAGCAATTAAAATGGAGGGGGACTACTTTCAGACCAATCTGCTAAGATGAGTTTTTGTAGATCTGTTTTTACATTCACCAAGCCCTACAGCAAGACATTCATTTATACCACTGAGATTAATGCTTATCTAATTGTAACTTATTTAAAAACCATTTTCTTTGCGACTGGGTACCAATCACTTTTTACTGCTTCACATGGAGAATCAGATCGGCACCAGTGGTCTCCCAGTTGCCTCTTTTTATTATTATTTCACTTTTTTCAATATTTCATGCCACATTTTCATGTAACGACTAAGGGAAATACGACTGCAAAAATTATTACATTTTAGCATGATTACTCTGTGCCCAAGGCTAAAGGTAATTTGTTTATTGCATTGGCTGCTTAAATTTGAGTAATTGGAAATGTCAATGTGTGTCTTGACAAATACATTTTAATGAACTTGCTTCAACCGAATCAAAACTATTAGATGTTTGTCTTTAAATGACCTATATAATTAGATAAAAGTGTTATAGGGCTATAGCAATATTTGTATAATGATTACTATAAACACAAAGTCTGACTTGAATAACTGTGAATGCATTTTTACCCACTAATCCAATCACAACATAAGATACAATATATTTTTGAAATGTATCCAGTAACTGTTTAATATAGCAACAGAAAAATTATAATGCAATATTTTAATACACTTTTTGACACTGTGAATTTAGTTAGAGGGTTAGTACAAGGAAAGTAGGTCTATAAAATTGGGACAGTATTTTGACTTATTTACCTAAAAAAATCTTGTCAGCCATTGTCAGATGGATATTGCAATAAAAATAATTCCCCATTATTATGCAGCCCAACACACCAGCATCTCAATAACCAGCAAATACCATTAAGTCTTGAGATGTACTTGTTTTGTTTGCCTGTAGTTGACTTCATCTTCTCTGATAAACACTTAGGGGTACATAACAGCAGTACAGTGCATGCTCCCCAGGCCTGGTGCTGTGGGCCATTGTCACTAAACATCTCATCCACTGTTGTGTCTCTGCTCCTCATCTCCTCCTCAGACTGCCCTGACATAGACAGCCTGTTTCTTGTAATTCTGGGGCCACAGTCTTATGTCCATAACCGGATGGAACATGCAGATGTTGCTTTTCCAAAACAATAAACGACAATTCGATCCTGGGGAAATAAAATGTATAGTCATGGTGACTCGCATAACCTGCAGGTCAAGGGTGAGGAGCCAATAGCGGTGAAGACCAGTATTGTTAGCGTATAACTTTGCAGACTGATCTGATCTGTTCTGATTCAGTTTGAGATTTTTAGCAAGGGACCTGGGGCTCAACAGTGAATACAGACTTCTGGTTTTGGAAGTAAAATTTCCAAGAATTTTCCCCAGACTTTTTGAAAATCTTAAAAATAGAAATAAATAAATAAATAAGAGCATAAAAACTTGATGGTGTATTATGAGCTACGCATAACTTATGACCATTAAACATACAACTTAATTTAACTGTATATAGAAACTAATTTTTAATACATAACTTGTATTGGAAATAATCTTCGTAAACTTGAATACAGTCATTAGTTTGCCCCATCTGAAAAGTCTAAAGGGGATATTAATATACATTTTACCTCTGGAACCAAAATCCTCTTTAGCATTATAATATATAGTCATTATATAAAAATAGTGTTACCTAAATATAAGCAATTCTCATGATACTTGTATTAATTAAACCAGATACTAAGCCTCTATAAAATCTGAAGATGCTCCCACATGTCCCTGCACTCTCCTCACTTCCCTCCGCCCCACATGCAAAACGCTTACAGTGCAGTCAACACCGCAGCGAAATCATTGCGAAGTGGTGACAAAGAAAATCCGTGCCTTATTTTTCATCCCTTTCTTTTTAAATGTGATTGTTGTCAGAAGGAATTGAGCACAACAATGCCTTTTGCTTGTTCAGTTTGCGTTGCATTCAAAGCCATAGCTAGAAGGGCTTGGGGAAGACCGCTCACTGCTAGGGGCTGGTGGGCACAGACCAGCTAGAAAGTGAATTTTGCATACTGTACGGATCATCGCCCAGTCCAGCGCAGTCACATTGGATCTGCCATCAACCAATTGTGCTTCATGAAACCGTCAACCCTCATTTACGTCTGCCTGTTTTCTTCCCCGTACAGCTGTAAACAAGGGCCCGGGCTCAGAGCTGTCTGCCTCTGTCCCTGTGTGTGCCGCTTATAAAGGGATGTTAGCAAGAAGGCTGTCTGAGGAGAGAGAAGCTGTTATGTAGACAACACTAGAATAAACAGGCAAGGACAATGGTGGGTGCATAGGGTTCTACACAGGCATTTTACACAGTGGGCTACCAGTAAAAGCAAGGTCCTTCAGATTTGTCAGCCTATTTTGGACATCTTGCCTTTTCAGTTTCACTTGTGTCACTTACTTTTTTTTATATATTCCAGTTGTGCCAGATAGGTTTGATATGCTCAAATTGTGAGGAATCTGTGTAATTTTTGCTTACGAAAGTAGAATTTATTTATTCACCGTTTATTTTGGTATTGCCATAGTGCCTGTGTTTTGGTAAACAGTCACATTTTCATTTAGCACTTTTCCATCTTCAAGATATTCAGAGCCCTTTGTATCGAGTTAAATTCATCAAATATTTTATAATGACTACGTCAAGTTTGTGTTATGTACTACGACATGGTTTACTGTAGTCAATGTATTTTATGACACCTCTCCAACAAAACATTTCTAATTTTAGAAACATTACATTTTAGACTCCAAGTTAATGCTAATTTAAATATATTAACACTATATCTTATTTACTTACTGTATCTGACCTGCATTATTTGGTGTGTAATCTAATGTGTTTTGAAACTTTCACCATGTGACATTTTTTAAAAGAGTACTACAGTATTAGACACTCGGTAATCCTGCCTGCCCATGGTTCGTGTCATTACAACGAGCTTATCAAAATCTGATAATTTTACAATTAATTTCAAAAGGCTGCCAAAATCCTTAAAATGTTTACCCCACTTTCTTAATTTACATTGGCCTTATACGTGCATGTTAATTGTGACCCACCAAACAGTTTCTTATTAAACAACATCCGCAGCAGTTGGTGTAGACAGAAAACATAATTAGTATTCAGGCTTAATTAATCTACGCTGGCCCCCTTTAAGTGAATTAGTCAATTATTTATGCATGTGTGCTCCTTTGATGCTAACAGATTATGTATGTTACTGGAAAAAAACCTTGAAAGATGACTTTGAAAACTTTCTACCATAAAATGTCACTACAAGCTTATGTGGGCACTCAGAAATGTCAATGAATGCTTGGAATGATAATGAAAAAGGCAAAACAAAAAAGCAAAAATTATTGCCAAAATCTCTATGCATGTTTTGGTTCTGGACGATGAAAACTGCACTATTTATATCAAGCTACTTGCAGTGTAAGACAAATATACGACTGAAATATGTAGGTTTTGTGCTGGCTAATCCGTGGAATGAAAATCGAACTGAAGTCGGATCAAGGTCTTCCGTCGGATCATGGGAACGTTTTGGGATTTTCAAGAGCCTTTTTGTTTTGCCCTTGAGAACCGGGGACTGGCCTCTGCCCCCCTCAGTCGCCCCCATCCAGGGCTCCAAGGCGGGACGGAGGAATGCTAAATGTCAATGGTCAACGCGCACTAGCACCTTCATAGATAGAGAGAGGGAGAGACAGAGAGAGACAGAGAGAGAGAAAGAGAGAGACTGAGGGACAGAGAGAGAGAGAGAGAGAGACAGCGAGAGGGAGAGAGAGACAGAGAGGGAGAGAGAGAGGAGCCTGACCCCACTGTGTTTAAATTGTAGTGTTCAGAAAGTATACTCACACTGCCAAAGGTGTCCATGTCTAAAGATGTAAGAGAGCAAATGGAAAAATCTGTGAAAAGAATGGAAAAAGTAACATTACATCATTTTTATTTTATTTCATTTTTACCCGTAACCACAACAACCATCTGTCAATTTAATTTATCCATGTAATCAGATACAAAGAGTACACAAGCTTGCAACAAGATGAAATGAGTGAGGGTGTTACGCACAAGGGCAGAACATCATAAACCAAAATTATTATTATCAAAATATTGGCATTATAAAAAAACTGCTACCATCATTTGTCTGATTGAATTGTTACCATTTACTTTCTGCAAATATGCTGCCTAGGATTGAGAATACTCACTCCTTCAGTACTATTATCAGTCTGGTCAGTGGTGAACCTCCCCGTTTTCAGATGATTAATAGATGGTTTAGCCAATCAGCGACACACATAGTCAGTCTGTATCGGAAAAAAAGATGAAAAAACAATGTCACGTGGGCTGAAAAACATTACAGATTTCTACAGAACTAATGAGCGAAACACTAAACTCTGTTGAGATAAATTTGACTTTATTTGTAAATCATAGATGACCAATGGGCTCCTTCGTTTCATACATGTGTCACTGAAAAATGACAAATCTGATTGCATGATCATGTTTGGCTGGGCTTGAAACGAGACAGAGGGTATTGGGACCAGAGTGATATCAATTTGGATAAAAAATACAGCAAGATATCGTTCTGGATTTATAGTAGTTAGTAGTAGTTAAAAATATTGCTTTTTTATACCTTTTTTTTCATTGTGGCATTGCATGCTGTTTTTCTTTTTGTCAGGTATAGTCTGAAATGCATCTTAAACAAGGCAGGTAAGACGTATTTAATTTTACTGAACACTCTGAACTTATTTTAATACACACTCATAACACCACTAGTTAATTTGCACTAGAGTACTACTTCAAAGACTTGCTAACAGAGAGACAAAATGTGTAATATAGATCTTTTAAGTTTGTTTATGTTGTAATAGCCTGCAAAGTGATATGTTTTCATAGCTTACCGTGCAGCACACAATCCCCCAAAGTTATCCATAAGCATTTCACCTTATCATAGTCCTCATCTTGTCCTTTAAAAGCTCATTCATTATCCCTCATCATGCATTATTTGACTGATTATTCATATAGTTTATTCATTTACATCTGATACAATATCATTTGGTATTTTTATCATCTGTTCCTATGGTAATTCACATGGCTTGCACAAGTTTCTGCTGAAATAGCAAAACAAACCCCAGGCTAAATGTGAAAGATTATCCCATACCATGCGAGCTGGGATGAAACGCTATACTTTTTCACACCGAACGCTGCTCCACTGGGTGTGATTGAAAAACATGTAAAGCTATTGAATCTGTGGTTTGTATATGTGAGGGGAAAATGAGTGTTGTAACAAGTGGGCCAGTGTTTTTGTAATTGTTTCAAATTACAGCCGGCGTAATAACTCCAGTGAAAGGCGAGCCAGTGTGCGGTCCGTTAGCATTAGCCAGGCAAAGACCACAGGATATCCACGCTCCTTATCGCGCCGCGCTAAAAACCTGACTAGGCAAACAACTCACTTCAGGTACTATGTTTCCAGCTGTTTCTATTTGTGTCCAATGGAGCTTATCACTGCTCTCGAAAGACCAATAATATTAGATAAGAGGCAGCATTTCCTACACAGTTTAAAGGTCCTATATTACGCGAAATTGACTCTGGTGAGGTATAAGTCATGTTATAATGTGGTTACCTCATCAAAAACATACTCAGAAATTGATTTGTTTTGTCTCATTCACACATGTTGGAGTAACTCTTTCTTATTAGTCTGTCTACATCTACATCCAAAGCTGTAAATGCTCTGTTCCACCTTGTGATGTCATGAAGCAAAATCATTCAAATGAGTTTAGTGAAGGTGAATGGAGTTCAAAAACACAGTGGAGCACCTCCTGTATTACCACATGACAACAGTTTGAGTGAAGAATTCAGCCTAATTATGCAGGATTTGTGTGTTAAACATGTGTGAATGAAACAAAACACAAATCCAGATATGTTTGTGATGAGGAAAAAAACATAATAACATGGATCAGAAAATGGTGTAATATAAGCCCTTTAAGGAAGTCAAGACATTTCTGCTTTTAATTTGTCCAGGTGTTATTGAAAACTACTTCAGGTGTGCACTGGATTATATTTGGGAAATTTTAAACAGGTTGTAAATTTTAATGTTTTGGGAAAGTCACTTCATTTCTCGTTAAAACTATACATTTCTTGCCAAACACAGGCTTCCTAAACACTGAAGTTGCCAATGCCATTGTTAACCCTGACTCATATATTACAGAATGCATACAAAAACAAAACATATACCTAACATGGCCAACTTTTGTTAAACAGTCTATATAAGTTTTCACAGTAAATCCCCCTATAAACTATGAGATCATAAATTTGAGTCTGTGAAGCCGAAGAGCTAAGCCAAACTGAACAAGAAGTGATTACGATTTGGACAAGAAGCGAAATACAAAAAAACGCAACTATCTGCCAAACTATTGTAAAGGATCTATCTGTTTATTAAAGTCAGTATAAATGAGGCATGAAAGTTTGAAGTGTTGATGGTAGCTGTGCAGTCATGTTTGACCGAAAACCTGCCAGTAAACTGAACTGGAAATATCAAATCAATTTCAAAGCATCAAGTATGCAAACCATATTCTGATGTACAAAATATTCAACATTTTTTATGGATTAGTTTATAGCTATCTTAGATTTCCTAACTTCTGGTTAATTTCTACCTTTTACTTTTGAGTCACTGACTTTCACTGCAAATTATGTAATCAAGTTGAAGGTGCAGTTTGACAATTCTGTTTGGCTGTGCATATGACTGAAAGGTTTTTATTCTGCACTTTTCTCTTTTAATGGTAATCTGATGATCATTATCTATGTTTTGATTTGTTTGTGTTGTGATTTTGATGTCTTTTTTATTCTGTAAAGCACTTTGGATTACTTACTTACTTTTCTAGTGGGAGATCGGTCAATGCATGTTCCAGAGTATAACATGAAACTTATCTATCTTCATGGAGACAAGCAGGTGACAACCCTAAGCCAAATGTAAGAAAGCATGTTTTTCAGGCAATTACGCACCCCTGTAACTCAATAAATGCAAGACAGATCAGTTTAATGCCATACTATGGGACATTCAAGCAACAACATCCCCATAGAGACAAGTACGTGGCGGACTGGTAGCACTTGAATACATTATGGTAGTTAGAGTTGGAGGTAGCATATTACACAAGGATGGCATAATGTATTCATATACTTTATTTTCTTAGGTCAATTGGCATAATCATGAATCATGTTGTAATGATTTATGAATAACACAAAAATTACACTTCAGTTATTCTACAGACCAAAGGAGTTCAGGCTGAAGTTTAATACTTATTTTTCCTAACCCTCTTAACTTATAGAAGAGAGTACAATACAAGATGGCAGAAATCTACTGACATAAAAAATGAAACTCTTATGAATGTAGGAAAGAAACATATCAAAGTATATGTTTTAGTATACACACATACACATACGTAGACGCACAAATCCTTTAAGTCATCATTCCATGTCTCAAATGGGGGCAAGGACCAGATTTTCCTATTGATTACACTGTACTTTACCATAAAACATCAAAAAGCTAAATTCACAAATGAACCTGATATTTTCAATTATTGACTAAACCCTAGAACTCACATTATTACAAGATAATTTTACATTTAAACAATATTAAACCTGTCTGAATTCATAATGTTCAATAGAATGATGTGATGTCATCTGAAACCCACCAATAGAGCCAGTGTAAATGCAGAACCATGACTTAAGACCCCTCACTTGTTTCTCTCCTAAATACACCCCACACACACTAAAGCTGACCCGCGCCCCTCTTTGCACTTGCCTCCGCTGCCCTGAGAATGACCATCTCTTCTGTCATCTCTTCAGCTAAGCTCAGCACAGGCCTAATCCACAGCGACAGTGAGCTCTGTGTTGGACTTCCCCTTCTCTATGGCATAGTGAGACCTGAAATATTCACATGACATGCTGCAGCGTTTCCGTCGGACACACACAGATGTAACTCTATAGTCACCGAGGGACTGGGCGCCGTGCACACAGAATATTTTATTTGCTTGTGGACAGAAGCCTTTTCTATAGTGTTTGACAACAGTCTGTGTCCCAAAAGACATATGTTCACAAAGAGAGGCCAAAAACGGTAACAATGTTCTTTTAGCTCAGCAGAGAAGAATTTAGCAGGCATAATCACTCTCAAAGCATTACTTGAATTGCACTAACAAATCCTTATTAGTATTAGTCCACAATAAAGCTTTCAACAATGATTAAAAATTACAAAATGGTTACCTTTTAGAGCTGAAGTCCTCTACATCTCCAGCTTGCTTCCCGTTGTCAAGGCGGACGCAGGCCCTAACAACACACACACTGTGGTCTCAGATGTCGTCCTCGTGTTCACTTTCACCTACAGGAAACAAGAGAAAGTTGCATTTAGGTACTACAATTAGCTTTGTTAGTATTACAGACTAGAGGTAGATGATGTATACAATATCACAATTTTTAGTTTTAGACATGCAAAAATGTTTAATTAGAATATCAAATATACTGTGATTAAAAAATGTTTCATGGCTGCAAAAAGAGGTGATTATTATGAATATAAAGAACAGAAACTTGCAGTAATATTTCTGCACATTTCATGGATTCATTTTTTGTGCAAAACCTGAACCTCAATTGAAACATTTATAGGCAGGTATTAGCTCATTGCTGATGGATTTACATAACATTATCCAGAAAATCATCATTAAAAAATATCAACTATTAGGATTAAGATTTTTTTTTTTTGTCAATGTTGCCCATCTTGTCTTTGAGACTATGACATCTTTCTACGTGTTATAGCAGTGCAAAAGAGAACACATGCTTCAAAATATATACAATTAACACATTACAGGACTATCACATTATACATGTGTATCAGGTTAATAAAACTTGTAAAAATCAGCTCCAGTATTAACTGAAAGTACAAACATCCACACATTTTAAATATTAATCATGTAGTCTTAAAACAAAAGTTCCCCACATACATTATTTAGGAGAAACAAGTGCATTTCTCAGGCTGAGACAAGAGTGCAAACTGCTGTGAAGAATAGGAGCAGAGTCCCCAGAGGATGTGCCCTGCAGTTTGACATATGAACAATAGAGTCGCCTGTAGAGCACAACATACAGCGCTAATGTTTAGGTCACCTGCTTTTATTGATGACGCCATCAGGCTAACACTGGCCTTTTCCACAGGATGAGGGATCTCTCACTACATTTGCATGTCCATTGTTTTTGTTGAATAAGTACAACAAATGTGTATGTAAAAGCAGTGCACTTTTGTGACACAAAACTACAGTTAGAAATGTTGACTTTAAAGAGATGTATTATGTCTTTTTTAATTAGTTTAATTGATAGTAAATATTAAAATTTTACTTAAAGGTGTAACTTGTGCTCCACCATGTGCTCATCTTCTTAGAGATGTTATTACTTTGCTTGCACTGTTCCACAGTATGGCATTAAATATCTATCGCTACAGAGACAAGCAGTGACATGATTGGGTAAAATTTGTGGAGTGGTGACCCTGCTCATAGTAAGTGTTTTTAAGGTATTTTGAACAATACAATACAAGTAATAGAAAAAATGCCAAACGGGTAAGATTAAGAGAAGAGAAAAAGGAAAAGATACATAGTCCGCCTTTAAATTAACATTAGGTTAACATTAACAAATTAAATGAAAAAGTTTGACTAGTGCCATAACTCTAAAAAATATGTTTTGTTTTTTTTTTACTTAATTAATTTACAACAAACTGGAAATACGAAGTACTTAACAGTAAAAATCAGTGTGCTTTGTGTTGATCTGAGCCATATGAAACCTAGTCCCAACCAATCCAAAGTTACTAAGGCAGAATAATCACTCATTAATGCGTATTGTAATCCAGTGCACACGAACCACTTTGACCCAAACCACTGGCATTTTTTGCTTATTAGACTGTGCAAATGTGAACCAAATAAGATGCTCACCAATTTTGACCTCTCGTCTCTTGGCTAAGCTGTCGCCGATCATTTATGCGATTAAATATAGACCTAAATCTCCATCTTATCCAATTAATTCTCGGCAAAGGCATGAGAGTGGCTAATGATGTTATCTTACCTAATTAACCTGTATAGGGACTCAACTTCAGGACAGGGGACTGCTTCATCCCTCATCTAGTGTTCATTATTATCATTAGAATCATTATCGTAAAGGCTAACTTAGGATGTTGGCCATTCCTCTACTATTAATCTAGATTGAGTCTTTTTTTCTTCTTTTTTGGGGAGGGGGGGTCCTTTGGGGTCAGTTTTAATTATCATTCGAAGATGGGAATTGTAGTAAATCTGGAGAAGTTCAGTGTTGGTCACAGCAATCACACAGCAGTCCCATGAGGCTGTTAGTTAGATGTGATCTGAAGGCTTCTGACTGGGAGGCCATTATGGAGTTTGGGACCGTATTGTTTTTAAAGTGGACCAAAAAATGTTTCAGGCAAATTGTATGTTATTGTTTGTAATTTGTAATCTGTCTATCAAGATTTAAAAATATTTAATTAAAAGCATCATAATAATTCTGTCATTTTTATTTCTTAATTTGATAACAGATCTGATTGAAAACAACATATTTACCTCCACAGAAACAAGCAGGTGACCCCTCCAGGCCAATTTATAGGGCAGATCTGTAGAGAACCTACCCCCGCTGACAGTCAGAATGTATTTTTCAAGCTATTTTCGAGCAATAAAAATACCTATAATGAAATAAATACCATACTATGAAACATTCCAAGCAAAACAACATCTCCCTGGAGACAAGCAGGCAGATGGCAAACCCCTCACCAGGTAAGTTAGATAGTACTCCTTTGGGGAAACACTAGAATTTTGATTTCTCCATTCAAAAGATTCAATTTCACCATCTGATTTGCATGGATTGGTGGAAGACTCCATAGACTGTAAAAAGAAGGGGACTAAGAGAGTGTGATGAGAGTGTCACCCATGAAGCTCATCAAGGCTAGAAGTTATGGAGCAAATTTGGAGCCAAGTTCCATATTAGGAATTCCAACTGCGAGTGTCATAGCAACCAAAGGGCCAATTGGGCCAAAGGGTGTTTAAGGTAATGCCCCTTCCACTGCTTTAGCAGGGAGTGAGAATGTGTGTGCGTAGCAAGCAATCCTGTCAATCAAACCTGTTGCTAGCACTAGTGGGAGCGGCCTCGGGGAAAGAAGCTGCCTGATGAGCCTCTTATTATTATGATCATATATTATATGTTCATAACTTGATTTATGGACAAAATAGAAAAATTAAAAAAATTGCAGGATCATATAGAGTGTGTTAATACAAACATTTTAAGAACAAAATGATGAGCCTGGCAGAAGCAGTTACAGAGAGGGGTTTTCAATAGAAAATGAAATGGAGTCAGAGTCAATGGAGCTGGAAGAGTGCCCATGCCCACTTCCTATTTGGAACATGGTGGCTAGCGGGTCAGCTACAAACAGCAGACACCAATAAACTTCAGTTCTTTATGTCCTTAAATTTGAGTCCATCAAATGTAACTTAGGAACCCTCTGCTTCACGCAGCAGCATCTCTTCCCAGTGAACGGTGACTCCAGGCTCTTAGCGCAGCAGCCGACCTAGAGCAGATCAATAGAGCTCATTGGGCCCTCTGTCATTAGTTAATCGGATATTGATGAGGCTATCGACACTCTCCTAATTAATCTCAGACCAGGCGCCGGCTTTCATACGTTTGCTTAATTATGCACTTCATCTTAGTTCCTACACATCAGCAAGCTGCCACTTCCCCACTGACAGTGAGGGAAAGTAGGCCGTCAAGAATCAGTCTTGTTAATATATGTTTTACTTTCTTTTCTCTTTAAATGACTTCAACCTTTTAAAATTATTTGGCCAGAAATTAACAGTCTCGAAAATGTCTTTTTGATTTTGAGTGTCATCACAGCAGGCATAAATTTGTAGAGTAACAAAAATCAAATGAAATGCTTAACTTAAGAATGTCCTATACTCACCACTGATCGTCTTCTCACTACATGATGTTTCTTTCTTATAACGGTAAAGTTGACTCAGATCGTTCTGAATTTATCCAAGCTTGGGACTGACATCAGCTTGCAATAAATAAAACCTAAACACAGAAAAAAATGTGTAAGGTAGTCCAATATCCAGCATTTTCAATTACCAATATCACAATGTATAAATCAATAGCAATGCTCACAAATTATAGTTTAACTTTTGTAAAAAAAATAAAAAAAAAGGTATTCAATTGGAATTTAAAATAATTTGTTCCATAATTATGTAAACATGCAGACATATTTTGCTCTTCAAATTCTATTGCATCTCCTTAGTCTGTGTACTTAGGACTAATTGGGAACAATACCAGTATCATGGAAACCTCTATGATACACTGATACTGATACCGATACTAGAGCAAGTATATCATCCATCCCTAATGAAAATCACACAGTTGGAGCATGATTATAATAATGTGTAAATGCTTTTATAAAGTCCCTGTGTTAATCCCCTCCATTACAGCCCGTGATAGTGTGTTTATAGTGTGCACCTGCTCTGTGCTCCCGTGCACAGTCTAATCAATGGAGCCTAGCATTAGCGTGTAGCATTAGCGCATAGCATTAGCGCTGCAGCAGAGATGAGAGAGCACCTGAAGGTGACCCTGACCACCGGCATCACCACAGGGCTCCAATAAGCCGCTCCTCACCGCGCCTCTGCTCACCACAAATCTCCAACTTTGAGCTCGCTGTTGGTTTGATTATTGTTTATAGATACAGCCGAGAATTAAAGTGTGGCCCCCAGGCAGCATAATTATTTACAGCTGAAAACTCATATCATTACCAGCATGCTCCTAATTGCCAGAAGTAATATCAATGTTAGTTGATTAAGTGTATTTTTTTCATCTTCCTAATGTGGAGAGATTGTTTTCCCTCAGCATATGGGGTGACGCTTTATCTCAATACAGCTGTTCATCTGGCTCCACTTCTATTTTTCCTCACTAAAACATTATTGTTGTTTCTTCAGAGTGAACAGAGGCATCGATTGCTGCACTTTTTGTAGTTGGCTCATAAGGTCAAAGAAAACACCAGAGATTCACTCCTCACTGTTTAAATGATCTGTGTAAGAGCCTCCCTGTGGTCTGCTGTGTGGCATTATGCAGGGGCTGTTTGGCTTTCAATGTGTGGCTTCAGGTAATGCTTAAACTTATGGTCAGTGAATGTCAATCATACAGTAATTATGAATAATATTAGCCAAGAAAATGAGGCTATTGACCACACTGTCTTTAAATAGACCTGGAACTTGAAAATGATGATAATTTATTGAATGTGAATGAATGCAGAGCTGAAATGATAATGTACATGATATTGTCTGTTTTGAGTTTAAACTACTTTTTATTTCTTTAACAAACCATTTTCTAAGACAATTCATGCAATCAAATAGTTTACAATTCATCTTCAAATTGGGATTAAATTGCATTTTTAGACTTTAGTTGGTGTAGAAGCCATCTTTCATTTTGTGATACCCCATACTAGATAATTTATCATTTCAAAATAAACCCATTTAGATTAATTAATAGTTTTTTTATGTAAATAATCAAGACGTTTGAATTGAAGAGAAATTGTGCATGGTAATTAAAATAGGACTTGCGGTCATCATAAGGGCATAGTCTGTAAATTGGGAGCTGTGACCAAGAAGACCCTGTTTCTCGTGCAACTGGGACAATTCTGTAGCTCTTGACTGACAGTGAATCGTTTCCTTTGATGAGACTGACAATAGTTTCAATACTTTGGTCTTTAAATGCATTTTCCTTCTTTGTCATTCGTTGTGAGACACACTGATGTCAGAGCACAGCAAGGTCTGTCTTATGACTCTTTTAAAGATCAAGGAGCTAAAGGCAGTGTTGTGTCAGTACAAGACATATTACATCAAATTGTCTACTGTATATAATGAAGAAGCAGATTCAAGAGATCATACATCTTTGAGTAAATGGAAAGAAAAATTATAAGAAAAATACAGAAAATTGAAACTTTAAATAAAAATTAGCCTAGGTATTACTTGGTTAGTCAAAGTCAGTGATGTGTTGCTGAGAGACACTCACCATGAGGTTGAAGGTTCAGTTTGAGTCTTGCTGATTTGCCCCAAATCTTTTCCTGGTCTCTTCAATCCAGTCTAGTACAGATTAAAATGCAAAAAATATAGAATTAACTCAAACAGAAGCACTGTATAACACCATAAATATCATATAAGCCTTGTCTCCTATTGGACATGTATTTGACTCTGCTCATCTTCTTGGTGTTAACAATGACACCAATGTATTCTGCAGGTCATTGGTCAATTACTAGAAGATTACAGGCGCCCCCAAAACACTCTCTAGATTCCCCAGAGGTGGTGTAATCTGTAATGAAAGTTGTAGTTTGAGTTGTTCAAGTGTGAATGAACAGAATATTCTTGTACACTGTGTCCAGTTTGTTACTTGAAACACACAAATGTTCAAATTAAGACATGCTCTGCTACATGCTAATATTGTCCCTGCATCAATGATTTCCATCTTGGCAATATGCCTTGACCTTGACTGCAAAACTGGACACCGCTGAAGGCAAACAGAAAGTTGTGAAAAGTCTATGAATTTGATATATGAACTTTTAGACTGTTAATTTCAAATTGTCAAGGGAAACATTTGGCACATTGTATAAATTTGTTCTATAAAATGCTACTAATTTATGACCACTTCAGGTATAGTGTGGGTGGACGCTGGCATAATGTTTGTTTAGTCATTTTTGTCTTGAGGAACATTTGATTTTAATAACTATGACAAAAGTACAGTTGTTTTTTTGTTTTTTTTAATAGTTTTCATATAAAGATAAATATTAAAGGTCCTACATCACGCAAAATTGAATCTTGTGATTAAGCCATGGTAGAACGCTGTTACTTAATCAAAAACATACGCAGAGTTGTGTTTTGTTTCATTCACACGTTTGAACAAAACAAAAGAGAGTGTTTCCATTTGAGAAAGAAATCAGCCTAAATATGCAGGATTTGTGTGTTAAACATGTGTGGATGAAACAAAACACATCTCTTGCTCTGTTTGTGATGAGGAAACAACATTATAACATGGATAAAAAACAGCATAATATGGGCCCTTTTATAGTACAACCTACATTTAAAATTATGTGCACAGGTATAGTGCAATTTTACCATCACTTACTTTTGACTTTGTTTACTTATTTTGAGTTTTCCATTACACAGTAGTTCTTTTTCCAGGTAGTCCTCAGTGGCTTAAATTAGTTTTTAGTGCTGTGGGAGGTGACTCACTAGCACTAACTAACTCACATCTGTCTGAAAGTGTAGGCAAAGGTTTTAAAATGTAAATGTCGTCAATGACCAACTTGAGCAGCTTGTCTTCAGAGGACATGGTCGGATGGGCGCCCCAGGGCAGTGCAGTAGCAGGCTCATTGGACTATGCATACAGCCGCTGTCCTCTTCCTCCGCCTTTTAAGTTTTTAAAGGGTATAATGTTCAGTGTGTGAGTTTAACCTAGATCTCTTTTGAACTTTTAAAGATCTATTTCCTACAGTTAATGATTCAACACTGGGTTTACTACTGTGCACTGACTTACACAGCAGCAGCACAGCAAGGGCACCTCAACATGTAATTTTTAACCCGGCTATAGTCATTTTCCAAATAGCCACTTCTTGATCTAATAAAATCATATTCTTGTTGAGATTATTTTAGTGTTTAGGTCTCATCTCTTTATTCTTCTAAGTCGCTCATCTAAAAGTGACAAACCAGTAAAAGTGGATTAAGGCTGACTTTACTGTTTAATTATAATGGACCATCATAAAACCAGATGTGGAAAGTAACTGAGTTATTAAAAATACTCAAGTTACTGTAGATGAGTAGATTTTTGGTGGGTAACTGTAAAGTTAAACCTGTACTACTGTGTTTGTAATTGAGTATAATTCAAGCCATAATATGTTACGTTCAAAATCACAGGAGTTAATGAGTGAGGTAAAAAGTCTCAAATGTCCCAAGCCTGTCTCTGCTCCTTTTAAACCTACAAGATTGTCTTTAGCTCAGAGAAAGAGTAGGTTGTGATTCAAAACAACAGCATTAAAGGCGCACTGTGTAACTTTTCTAGTGGAGGGTCTGTCAAATGCTTTTCTCCATGGAGATGTTATTTCTTTGTTTTTTGGAATGTTCCAGATGACCAGACGTCCCTATTTACCCGGGACAGTCCCAGTTTTGAGCCCTGTGTCCCCTGTCCCAGTATATTTATCCAAAACTGATTGTTTTGTCCCAGTTTTATACAAGAAATGTCCCAGGTGTCCTTATTTTTGACCAATCTGATACCTGCCAAAAGTAAAGGGCGGCATACATTGTCATTTGTTTAGGTAAAATACAGAAAAGCTGATAAAAATGTGACTACACTGACTCACATGCTAGTTATGAATGGGCAGAATGCATAACAATTTTCCTTAATTACGCACTCTTTTCACAATTTTATTACCACTCCCAGTTTTTGATTTTGAAATCTGGTCACCCTATATTAAATCTTCATGGAGACCAAACCAGACCAAGTTAAAGGTCAGATCTGTGGAGAGGCAACCCTGCTCACAGTCAGAATGCATGTTTTTCTAGTTATTTCTAAACAATGTAATTTCATAAATGCATCTTTAAACTGTTAAATTAATCAAGTCAAATTTATCTGAAAAGGGCCAACTAAAATTAAAATCAAAGTAAAATGTAGCCTACCTAGAAAACGTGTAACCTACTTTGCTTGCTATCATACTTTCACTCAATCTAGGTAATATTTTGGCAGCAGTAATTGAGTACATTTTAGGCCATGTAACTGTATTTTTTACTTGAGTACACATTTTCAATTGGCTACACTTTCTACCATCTAACAAGTGAAATAAAAAAGTATCATCTTACCATTTCTTTTGATGCTCAGTTGGTGATTTGTCCTTGTTTTGGTCCCTCCACATGTTTTTTAGCTAGCACACTGCACATGCTAGTTGTTGCAGTTCCTCTTTCCGCCACTAGGTGCACACTTCTAATTCACTGCTCAGGTTTAATAAAGGTGCTTGTGCGTATTATTCCAGCCACCACCTCTCCTCCAGTTACTCTGCACTGAATATTTTTTGTCATTTTTATGCTTTTTCTTCATGACGCTAAAATTGCAGTCGCTATCCTTGAGGCCACTGCACAATATGGACCCATGTTTAATATCTCCAACTCAAGTTATTCAGAAGACGAGCATCCTCTGTTAAAGTCATCCATCGCTGGCAGGCACCAAAAGACAAAAGAAGTTGAGTCGTGAACATATTATGAAACAAGATGGAGAGTGGCAAATAGGTAATTAGCCTGTACACTGCAATTGAGCATTACAGTGTTGCTTATGACTTTCCTCTCTGGTCCCCAAAGCCTTGTCTATTAATTTAGCTCTAAGGGGCCATCCATAAACAGGCTGAATAAGCTGTTAGCCTAAACGACGAGCACTAATGACGGGCTGAAGGTAACCCACAGATGGAAGTGTCCACATTATTCACATCAGGACAGGCAAAGCACGAATGCTATACATCTATTTGCAGAGGTGAAAGAAATACTAAAACTGGAGCAAAAAAAAAAAACTCTCAAGTGAAAGTAAAAGTATCATAAATAAATCTACTTAAGTAAAAGCATTAAAAATGTACTTAAAGTATAAAAAGTAAAAGTATTTCATGTTGATCTTGAGACCTAATAAAATCTAAATCAAATCCACTTTATTCCTATAGCACGTTTTACAAACAAAGCAGTTTCCAAAGTGCTGCACAGAGACCGTAAAATGAAGACAACAAAAAGGTAAAGTGCTAAAATTTTGTCATACCTGTCCTGAAACAATAAAACCAGTAACATCAAAATAAAAGCAAAATCCATAAAAATCATAAAATAGCAGTAATTAAGTAAAATAAATAAAAGACACAGAGGAGCACACAGCTCACGTAGTGTTAAAAGCCAGAGAATATAAGTGTGTTTTAAGACGAGACTTAAAACACTCGACTGTGGGGGCTGATCGGATGTAAAACTTCAAATGTAGTGATACAAATTTGTGCTGATTTTTTTCAACAGAAACAAATGAATCAACCTTTTTTTTCTAGCAGTTTTTATTTAGTTAAGTACCTCTGTATTATGTGTTTATTTTTGTTTGCTCAAACTATAAATGTATTAAAAAATAAACTCCTCAGTCTTTTCAGCAGGTCTCACAATTATAAATCATTATCATAATCATATCATAATCATTCAAACAAGAATGTGAATATAAACGAGGATAGAGTGAATGAATAATGTAAAAGTGTCTTTGTGACATATGTCTGTGAAAAGTGCTATATAAATAAAAACTTACTTTCTTACTTAAATGAGGTCTGTCTATTCTGAAAGCTGTTTACTCTACTCAGAGGTAAGCCCCATACCAACATGAAATGAAACTTAAAAGATAGAAAGGTAGATTCATTTTATTACATACTTAATTCTACTCCTTAAAGCTGCAATATGTAACTTTTCTGATGGACAGTCTGCCTCAGCTTGTCTCCATAAATATATTATTGCTTATATATGTTCCACAGTATGACATTAATCTTATCTATCATTCATTTAGTCAATTGCATGTGTTTATTGTGAGTGGGGTCGCCTCTCCACAGATCTGACCTGTAACTTGGCCTGTTGGTGTAGGCTTCTTGAGATAACTTTAATGACATACTGTGGAACATTCTAGGCAAATCGCTATCCCTCCAGCAGCAGAAAAGTAACATAGAGCATGCATAAGTTTACTAAAAATAAAAAAAACAACAAACTCTCCCACAATATTAATTTAACTTACGACTTCTGATCTCCCCAATTTTGTTTTGTTTAACCTCTAATAATCTTAAAGTCTTAAAGTTAGTCTTAAAAAATAAACATTTGTAAAGGTCATTGTGAAGTCAAGGAGTCATATTTAAATTGACACTTATTGTTTAGATGAGATGAGTTGAATCTCAGTTGACAGACACTATAAGCTTTAACCCAGAGTCTGTGCGTGCTCCAGCCTGACACAACATGCAAACACAGCATCTTTTTTGTCAGACGTGATGTTCTGTCTCGGGGCTTTAATGAAAATTGCTTGAAAACTCTTGAAAATCCTGTCTCCCCTTCTCCCTCCCTCCCTCTTTTCTTTATATGAGGTCAGTTTTTTAGCTACAATTCATTTAGCCTCTGGTTGTCTTACATAAGAACAAGCTATAGCCCATTACTAGCAAATGAAAAGGAAGTGCGACAGAAACTTCAGAATTAATTTACAGTAGAGCACACCTTACAGGTAACTGACTCTGAGTTTGATGTAATTACTCCCCAAACCATAAATGAGTGTAATTGAGAAAAGCCTAAAGCATACAAGGATAACAAATGGTGAGATAATGAAAGTGGTAAAGACTTAGCTGTCCTGATGGATGTAAATGGGAGTATTCGGCTTCTTGGAGATGTGCTAATTCTCCAAAATACACCTTTGTATCTCGGTAGCGGAGTGGCCCCACACGTGTCCTCCCCCAAGCACACGGCACATATTCAGATGAGCCTGCCATTAGCTCTAAGTGGTCTTTACCCCCAAATTCAGCCATTTTACAAATGAGCTCATTTAGCACATTAGATGGTAGCCAGTGGCAAAGGTCAAAAGGTCAGCTCTGGAAAATATGATATATGCAAACCTGCAGCCGGGGCAATTAATAAAGACTTCCCCAGCACTTTGGAAAGCCAGAAAAACACATGTGAATGGGAGGATAATAGAGAATAACTTTTTTAGATTTAACATTAGTGAACTATTAAATTTGCTAAAAAGGAAACAAAATCTTGGTTTATTTTGTTGTGATATAAAATAAGCTTTTCTGTGTTAATTCGAAACATCAGTGGTGCCATTTTGACCAAAACACATGAGGATAGAAACATTAAAGCATATTAAAGCAACCTTAAATCTGTATGTAAGGTTTAAAGCCTATATTACACTATTTTCTGACTGACTGTAAGTTATAATGTTGTTTCCTCACTAAAAACATACTTGGAGTTGTGTTTTGTTTCATTCACACGTTTTAACACACAAACGCTGCATGTATAGTGCAATCAATTTGTTTTGTTTTGTTGTTGTTAGTATTATTATTTTTTGTGTGAATGTAACAAGAGCTAACCAACCCAAAACCTTGTGAATTCTGCTTTACCTGTGTTCTGTCTCTTTACTATGTTTTTCACTGTGACTAAGAATCCCCATGACCTCATCCGTGTTACAAAGCCTTTTTTCTTATTTGGCAGTGGCCTACATAGTGTCCTAAATGGCCACTCCGTCCATGGTTTAATGCAATAGACAAAACAGCATTAAGGCTCTGCTCTGCTCCCTGGTTAGCCACCTCAGCTCTGCAAAATGAACTGGAAATACTCAGAAAGAAAGAAGCTTGCTCGCCTCCCCGCCCTTCCACTCCAGCGGCTACGCACAGGCCAGACTGACATATGGGTGATGCTACATTCTTTAAAGCAAATTCCTGATTCTCTCTCTCCCTACCCCCTCCCTTTTGCCATGTCTCTCGCTCAGTCACTCATAAATTGTCTGTTCGAATGTCAGTCTTCCTCTCTATCAAATAAGTACACTGTGTGCCAATCGAGGCTGGAGACGGTGCATGTGAGTGTGCATGTGATTTTTGTATGCCGGGGCGTGCTAGCTGGCTGTCGTATTAGCGGTCACTCTCTTTAACATGAGGGCGTACACAGTCAGACGTGCAAAAATCAATACAGCTTTGCAGGGGGCTGACCCACATACAGTAAGGCCAGCCACTGTCCGGTCCAGTGTAGGTACTCGGACTAGTTTCAGTATAAGCGTGCAAATACACAATGGGATTTTATACTCATGCTAAAGTACGAAATGCTTTTTAAATAGTAATGCGGGGGTTCTAATAAAAAAAAAATTAAAAGACACAGAACCAGTAGATAATTAGATTGACTTATCATTCCATATATTACATGGAACAATAATTTTTGGGTTGGTTCAATATTTATTGTGTGTGCATTACTGGGGATTTTTGAATTTGAACTGTAGACCGTTTTATTAATAACTTTTATGAGGCAAATTAAGTAAGTGCAGAGGCGGTAATACCATTAGGTAAAGTAAGCGTCCGCTCTGTGCCCCCAAACCTGGAGGGGCCCTTAGCAATTGTGCTCAGTGCCAGTGATGGCACTAAAGGCCTCAGAGCAAATAGATTTTTATCTCAATATGACATTAAATGAGTACTTTTTAGTTTACTTTTAAACAATAATCATAAGAAAAATAATAATAATCATATGTAATGGATGTAAACAAAAATGTAATTGTACTAGCAACAAAAGGGCTCCAAACTCAAGTTTGCCTAGGGCCCCCAAATTGCTATCTCCGCCACTGCTTTATTTCATTTCATTCTGCCATTTATTTATTGCAGCTCATGTTTTAACAATATTTTACATTTAGAGCAGTTTTTGTGGTTTAAATCTGCTTTAGTGTTACTGTGTCAGTGCCACAAATTAGCTTCAGTATTATTGTTTATCATTTATATTTACTTCAGCAATATATCATACTTCAAATGTATTATTGTGACAGGCCTAGCTACATCTTATTTATATTTAAATTCATTCAATATTAGATCATTTGCCATATTTGTAGAGCGTGAGATTGTGTCATCACCAATCATTTTAATTTAGCATTCATTCAGAATGTCACTATAGTCAGATAAACAAAGGTTATGAATAGTAGTGACGCAACATTTTATTGAGTTGCTTTGTTTACCTTTTTAGATAGTTTTGGCTAAGGCATCTCAGTGGGAGTTTTACAATGTTGACAATGACAGATTTGGCCAGTAAAATACTGTATCTATCTATATCTATAATCTGTCCTGAGCTCTGTACATTTGAGGGAAAACAGAAGATCTTTAACTTTCAACCAGGTCCAAGTATCACATCTGATCGTTCCCAGTCCAAGATACAGCCACTGCCTTGCGCTGGTTCATGTT